CAAACCACCAGTAAGCTGCCCAGGGACGACCTTCTGCGTCGTCTAACCGTCATCTTCCTACGAACACCTGCACCGACCACCACTAAGACCTCTCTGCGGGAGCGATTCCGGTCGGCGCTGATGATGAAGAAGAGGCCGGAGGAGGAGGCAGTTTTGATGCCCCTGACAGAACTCGGCCCCTTTGTCAGTAAGGAGTACATGGAAATGATGGCGGACTGGTCGGATGCTGCTGGTCTCATTGCTCTGGATGGCCACATGCTAATAAATTACGTGTGGTGAGAGGCCGAAAAATGTGACATTATTTTTTTTTGTTTTCCAAGAAAAGCGTCATCAATCACAAATCTACACGCTGATGGCAAACAGAGACGGTATATCTCACTTAGCTGTGACGTCTATTTAATAAAACAAATTAATCCTGTTTTCTTGGCTTTTGATTCAGAGGGAGAGATACGCTTTACTTTGAAAACATAATTCCAAACTTTTCAACAAACACGTACTCCACTCACCAAGAATAGAATTAGGCGCAAAAACTACATAACACCGGGAGAACACCGGCAATGCATTTTAGGATACAAAGATGTCCGGCCGAGTAAGCAAAGATAGACGTATCCCAATGGCTATAAACTGGTAGATAAGAATATTAGACATAGAAGGCCAGAGTGTTATGAATAAGTTAATTAAGTACAGAAGGAGTAGAGTATGAGTAATGGGTAATCGATCCCAAAACAAGTGCAGTCCAGCCATGAGCGGGCGGGATCCAGAATCACAGTCCGGCAGAGAGATCGCCGGTCCCGGGAGTGTATAAGCGTAGGCAATTACCGCAGTAAGGTCATTAGTGAACTGGCCTTGAAAAGTGATTGGCCAGTTAGAACAGACAGAGGGCGAACACATTTTCGTGACCTTAACCTGACCTTGACAGGTTCGGGTGCGCAAGTGCTTGGTGGATACGAGCGACAGATATGCGGCCTGCCCCAGAGGCGTGCAAGGAAAGCATTCCTTAGAACACGAGGTCACTACAAGGCCTACGTCTAGTTACGCGAAAAATGGGTTGGTCCGACAGTGACCAGTGGGCTCGTCCTTTCGCCTCGACTCCATCTCACGTACAGGGTAAACAGTGTTTCACCAACGTTTTCTTCATCACCGTCAGGCCTTTCTCCTCGACAAAAGTTGTCAGCTGTAGGTTTAGTAATACAATTTAGAATCAGTCTGTTAACAAACCTGGAATGCTACATGAACCGCTAAAGCAATACGCTGCATGAACCATCAAAAGAGGACATTTGTATAGACTAAAGGTTCAT